TAAATAAAAATAAATAAATAAAAAAAGATAACTGCTTTGTCTTTCAAGTAATAAACTAAGTAGAGTGTTCATCAGCTTTCTGTGAAATCAATCAGATCTTCTAGAATTTCCTATGTGTAAAAGACTAGAAGGATAATAAATAATGGTGGGAAATATACTTAGTTATGATTAAACCATATGTAATTTGCTTTGAAATGACAATAATGAGCAACAAAACTAAAGGAAGAAAAAGAGGTCTATTGAAACATATGAAAATGAACCAGAGCCACTATATGAGTTGGATAGGGAAGAAGAGGTTAGGGGACATCCTTGGGGAAGCCTCTTGGCTTCAGGAAGTTGTTTTTCGTTTAGGTGTTTGGACTATCTCCAAACATGCCATATTCTACTGACTTCACTGTGAGGTTGCTTTGGCTCCTAATAGTTAACTGACATTTGGAGACAGAATGAAGCAAATTTCATTTTGGCAAGCTGAGCAGGAGAGAGGAAGCTGTGAAAGTCATCCCTAGAATTAATTAATTGGTATTTTAAAAAGAAAAAAAGAAATAAAAAGTGAAGTTGGTGATAAAATGGAAGGACATTATTTCTTTCAGTTCCGGGAGGGGGGACATTTGAGTGACTATCCTGCTGCCTTGTGGGCCTTTCTCAGAGGAATCCGGTATATGTCTGTGGAATCTTCCTTATTCAGATGATTAGCTTGAAACTCATCCAAGCAACTTGTTTCTTCTCTTTATTTTGGTGCCTAACTATTTGGCATCTTCCTCATTAGTACTGTCAGAGGGAGATAGAAAAGATGAACATATCAGTCAGGGTTATTAAAAGCATTTGCAAAAAGAATGGTTTACTGAGGTTAAAATGAAAATGTAATGTGAGACAATATTTACATTCTTGTGTCATTTCAAGATGTGCTTTGTTTCTATCCTGCTGTTCATGCCTCTTAAAGTTTTTTAGGTTTGAACTCCATGGATATACCTAGATCCATCATTAATCACTTAAACTTTTTTCTCTACTTGAAGAATCTAGCTTTCATATAGGTTATGTAGCATTCCTATGACCTTTTCAAATTTATGATCTTATAACTATTGGATACTTGCTTTATGTTAGAATTAGCACTTTTAAAAATTTCTTGCATATGCAATACTTGCACACAAATATTATTTCTTGGATAGTAAATTCATTATTGTATGAGTTTTCATTTTCCCAATAATTATAGTACATTTTCTAAGCATTTTTCTTAGAATACTTTACTATCTCCCCCACCTAATATTTTCTGGAATAGTTTAAAAGTCCTGTCAAATTCCTTTAATTTAAAATCTAACCTCACAGTCTTGAAAGGTATGTGGGGAGACATAATCAACCTCTTACAGTTTTTCAGAAGATATGAGTGATTAAAATAAATTTTAAAATATTGAACATGCATCCCAATTGTTCTTTTTACCTACATTTCACAACTACATACAAATACACTTACATTCGCTTAGTGTTTTAGAGTAAATGGTAATGACTAAGGGTACAGCACAGTGGAAGAGCACCATCAGCTTACCATGCATGTGGGTCCACTTTTGATCCCTGGTGCTCAAAAAATAAAAGAATAAATGTTAAACTGTGAATTTTTGACTTTAATATGTATAAGTCAAGTAATATGTTCTAATGATAAAAGTGAATTAACTCTCTTAACTCTTAATAATCCACAAAGGCATAAATCAAAAGCCTAAGGGTTAAGAGTTTGGACTCCAGAATCAGACTGTCAGACTTAAATCCTAGCTTCACTACCTTGAAGAGACTCTAGAGCTTTTCTGTGCTTTAGTTTCTTCATCTCTAGATAGGGATAATGACATTTTCACTACACAACTATTATAAAATAAGGGAAAGAACTCTTTTAAATAATAATTACTGGCTCATGTGGGGAGAAGATTTTGACAATGATAGATGGTGATTATTTTGTACATCCAAACAATGTACAGTATTTCCTTCACTGCCTTTTCTACTGAATTCTCTCATAATGTCTATGTAAAAAACTAGCAAAATACTGTGTCTACACTTTTAAGTGTATTTTAAGGTCACTTATTAATATAATTTATTATTGTTAATCACTGGTGAAAAGATTTTAGCAAGGATCTTGTCCCCGTTAGATTCGTAATAATATCACCATATTTTCCTTCTAATAAATACAAGGAAAAATATTAAATGCAGAAGTATCTTGTATACTGTCACCAGCGCAAAGGAACTAATAATACTTTAGAGATATGACATTCCTAGAATAACTTTAGGAGAAGAAATAACTTCTTAAGAGAAGAAATTGCTACGTATTACCTATCATTTGTTGATGTAAAATGACTTGTTATAATTATTAAAATATTATCAATAAGAAGTAAATGAGGAAATATAACATAGTACAAAATAGTAAGAACACCTTTTTTTGGTGGTACTGGGAATTGAACTCAGGCCCTTGCACTTGCCAGGGAAGCACTTATTCCACTGAGCCATCTCTCTTGCCCCAGGAAGACATTTTATATAAGTGAAATTTTATTGTTCATTTGGCTCCAGTTTCTCTATGGAAACTTGTTTTTATTATAAAATTATACCAAGTGTAGTAGTGTGATGACATAGCAATATTTGAATTTTCTGTGGTAAATATTATTTTGCCACAGAATATAGTATAGATTTTGAGGGACGTGAGATGAGTTCTTTCATCATGGTATTGAATTACTATGCTGTATCTTATAAGTCTTTTAGGCAATTCACTTATCAAGTGAATTGATAAAGTCATTTGATTGAGTATAGACTTCTCTGGATAAACTTTGAAAGCCACAATATTCATATAGTAAGAACATCATTAAGTCATGTATTTATAAACTGAATTTATAATATATTTTAAAATACTTTAATTTCTGCAATTTTTCCTAATGATGTCTTTTTCTTAGGGTATGTATATTAAATCGACTTATGATGGCCTCCATGTAATTACTGGAACAACAGAAAACGTAAGTATTTTAACATTTCAAATTTTGGTGTATATATAATCTCACATGATTGAGGTTAATTTCTAAGAACTAGGACAGATGGGAGTTCTAATGAAAACATATACTGAGTTAATACATACTGGCTTCTTTAGACATTTAGTTATTTGATTTCTTTTGGAATAGCTACTAAAAGTAATTCAGATGTTTTCTGTTTGCAGCCAGAAGTTTATCTTTGTTAAGTATGTTCAGGTTCTTGATAAGTTATTATGACATCTGAAAACAGTATGGTTTCATCTGTCAAATAGTTTAGTTATTTTAAGAAGCTTAACTAATATGAAAAAGAAATGTCAGATAAGTCAGACTTTCTAAATACATTAATTCAGTAGAGAGATGACATGAAGTAACTGAGTTGTTTTCCAGTGAAGTTTCTGAGCCAGCATCATCATCTTCCCTCGGGAGGATGATAAAAGTACAAATTCTTAGGCCCCATCCCAGACCTACTGATCAGAAATTCTTGGGAACCAATCCTGGTTAATGAGATTGTGTTTCAACAGGTGGTTCTGAGGCATGCTACTATTTGAGAACCACTGTAAACAGTGGGTCAGAGCTCACTAAGCCTAGATCCTACAACCAGTTCTGCATCTTACTGGCATTATGATTTTTTAAAAGTCAGTTAACCTCTCTTCATTGCTTCAGTTTCCTCAATTATATATTGAAAATGAATTATCAGCACTCCATACCTCACTCAATTGTTGTGAAAATCAAATAATCTAATAAATGTGAAAGACTATGCTATAGAGAACCATAGCAATGCTATAGAAATAAATATGAAGTAATCATGTTGGGCATTGACATGATTGGTATAATTGAATTGAATAACATTAAAATCATTTCTTCATTTAGGTATTCCAGATTTCCATTCTACTTTCATATAAGCAGGTTCTGAGCTTTGAATTTATTATTTTTTTCTTTTAGACATTCTGACAAATGGCATGTTTATGCTGTGTTCCTTTAAAGAAGACTGAGATGGAATTAGTTAAATCTTGAGTTGTTATTGGTCTCAACATTTCACCAGCATTTTCTTCTTAAAAATTAATATTTTGTTCATGTAATTCACATAGTAATTTTAACCTTTTACTGTTTTTTTCCTCTGCTTCCCTTCATTTCTTGTAGAAGGTGAAATACATACATGTAGATGAATTGTTATCGCAGTTTTATATTGATAGTAAATATGAGATCAAAAATATCAGTTCATTGCATATTGTAAAGTATTTGACAATTTTAAATTTAGTAAGATGCCACCAAGTTATATTCTTGCCACTGATCATTCTCATTTATTTGTATATTCATTTGATCACTCATTTATTCATGTTTCTTTAACAAACCTCTGCTTCATGTCTGCTGTGTTCCAGGCATGATACTAGTTATTCGAAGGATTTTTGAAATAAGCTAACCTGCTGTCCCTCAGCTATGGATAGCAAGTAGGGGTTCATCTGTATAAACAGATAGCACAGTTTGCTTGGATGAAAAAAAGGAAAAAGTAGAAAATGCTTCCAAATGAAATGAGAGAAGAAATCACAGAAATGATGGTTTTGACCTGTATCATGAAGAACTGGTAGGAATGGATCTCTATATTGTCTGGGATCTGTTAAAAAGAAAACAAAAGTTGAGCACTATGCCTTGCTCATATAATTACTCACTAACGTTTAATAAGTGGATAAGTGATCAAAGGAAAAATTGATTCTGTGAGCAGTTCACATATGAATCATATATTAGTTCATCCTGTGATTCTTTTTGCTTTAAATTATTTTACTATTTTTGGTAGCCTCAATTATTTACAATTAAGAACTCTGTGTTAATTCTTTAATTAAAGTTCCTCGCTAGAGTGGGTAAGTTAAATTTTGCTTTGCTATGCCCTAGTTTCATTGTTTTCTTGTACAAAGATCGAGGAGTTTGGGCCAACTGATCTCTAGGCTTCCTTTTAATGAAAGTTTATAATTTATATAACTTACCCCTTTCATTTATCTGCACAAAAGAGTATTTCATTTTCTTTGAGTTTATATATTTACCATCATTTTCTTTTACATCATAACTAAAGTCATTTGCTTGATTTTTTTCTTCCATAATCTCCTTTAAAAAAATCAGCTATGACTCAAACAGCACAGTGACTTGCTATAGTCATAACAATTAAGGGAATGATTTACAGTCTTCTCAGAGTTGTTCCATTGTACTGGTCTGATTTGATAATATGCCCATCAACTAAAGCTGCTATAGGATGTGTTAGTCTCTTAGTTGGGTTCATGTCCTTGCTGAATCTGCCCCCTTAGTAGTATGCTTGTGTTACTACTTCAGTAAATGGAACTCTTGGAATATTTTCCTGTCTTGAAAGTTAGCTTATAGCACATAATTTTATTGTTTTTAAAAAGTTGAAATTAATATTTTAAGATTTCTGTGTTTTCAGCACTATTGGAACTTGGAAATCAGTCAAAATACAGTAAATGGATATCACTTTTTAAAGTATCATATTCTGAGGTATCAAAAATTATCTCCATATCATTGTCCCTCAGGTTTCAATAGATGCTAATGAGTAAAACCATTTATAGTTGGTTTTGATAAACGTGTTTCTGGGAAAAGCGCCTTTTCTATGGATTCAAAATAAAAATGCTATTGTGATATTAAGATACCTAAAAAGTCATATAATCTATAATCAGTCACTAAAGAAACAATATCATTTTAAATTTAAAATTAAAGACCTACACAGATGAACACTATTATAAAATTTCTATGTTACATCTTTAGTCTTTCAAAGTTTTCTTAAATTTTGTAAATATTAAATTATCAAGTTGTTTATCTTTATTTCTGTTGTTAATCTCTTAAGGAAGTAAACAGGTCATGGAATTATCACATCCTTTAGACATGTTGGCTCTGTAGTTAATATCCTCTGATATGTGTACTTCTGTTGTCCAGTGTATTACATTGTAGAAGACATGAGAAACTACATACCCTTATAACTGGACATTCTAAGAGAATGTTATGCAATGAAACTTGGAGCTAATTGCTGTCCATCTTTCAATTTGCTCTTCTAGGTTATTCTGAATTGACGTTTTAATGGTGAAATAAATTAGCAATTTAAGTAGCAGATTGCAAGGTTTTGATGCTGATCATACAGTAGTACTTGAAAATACTGATTTGCTAAAATTAATGTGATTTATATTAAATACAATACTCAAAGTAAAAAAATAATTAAATATATGCCTAGTAGATCCTAGCAGGATTTTCTGAGTAAAATTTTCAAAGGTTAATACCAATTATTTTTTCCTTAATGTTCTTGAAAACTTATTTTATTACAACCTAAGTATTATATTGCATTTCTGTTTTATATTATTAGCTACACAAATAGTGCAAACAGTACATTAAGTACCAGTAACCATTTCTGTTACTTTAATTCCATAATGATTACTTGCATACTTTTTTTTTGTTTATGGTGCAGGTGATCAAACCCAGGGCTTCTCACGTGCTCAGTGAACAATCAGTGATGCACATCCCTAGCCCTATAATTAATTTTTAAACTCTAAGATGATAAACGTTTGTAGTGTTTCCAAAGAGAAGAAATAACTGATAAACTTAAGGGATTTTTTTATCATTTCTTTCATGTTAAATTCAGTCACCTGCAGATCGGTGCAAGAAAATCCATGCTGGCGATGAAGTGATTCAAGTTAATCATCAGACTGTGGTATGTATAATTACCTTAAGAGTCAATGGGAGGAACTAATTTAAAGATTTTCTAAAGCTTTGAAAGAATTCCAATGAAATTAGATGCATATTTGTATTCAAACTAATTAAAATGCCTGTTTAACAATGACTGAATAACTATTATTCTTAACTTGGTAGAATGTAAGGCATGCTTTTAAGAAAAAAGGCGGAAATATCGGTGGTGATTGAAGTTAGATATATGTTTCTATATGGACAGGTACCAGAGTAACAGCATACATTTCACAAGCTGGCATAACAGTTTTGGAAAAGAAATTAAGGTGATGTTATGTACAAATTCAATCTTTTCTGGTATAATATTTAGAAGTTTTATTTTTTTATAAATTATTGAATTATAGCTATGTTTTGTACCTATGCATTTATTTGTGTACTTTAACTTTGATTTGTTCAATAAGGAGTGTCAGGTTTTTGCTGTTTATTTAAAGTTTAGATTTTTGTTTAAAAAAATGAATCTTCAATATCTTAATTGGTTCTTTGCTTTACAAAAGGGAACTACAGTTTTAGTTTTAAAACTGTTGTACTTATCTAAATAATTTCATAAATTTTTCTTATGCTATGAAGCTCACAAATCCATTAACAAGCCATGAATGATAATGGCATTCTGTGACTATGGTAAATTTTCCAATGCTATTTTTATTCATCTTAGATGCTGAAAATAAACATTATATGATCTTCATTTTTGACTTGCTTTGCCAAAATAAAGGGTATTGTCCTTTAAAATGCAGATAGATGTAATGTTCTTCCAGTAAAAAAAAAGTAGAGTTTTTAATAAAAGCTTCTGGTTTTTATTAACCATATTAAGAGTATGAACTCTTCAACGTGAGTATTTCCTGTTACACCATTTAACTAAATTTGCTTTTCTGTCCTAGTGATAGAAGACACTTTGTGAAAGACTTTTTCCCAATGATATTTTAGAAAGGTTCTTAGGTACTGATAAATATAACCATGAAGTTTCTTCAGTAAATTTGTTGTCTAACTGAAGTAACATTTGTTGAAATTTTAAAAAATTGAATACATTGCTATATGGCACTGAATAAAACAGTTATCGGTGTGCAGCTTTTTCACCCTGCAACAGTTCTGGTGACTTTCTGTTCTGAATACGTGCTGCTTGTCATGACACGCCAGTTGCTGTCATGCTGTCTCTCGGGTAGAAAATAGTTTAAAAAGGAAGGGGAGGTGGGGTGAATGAAGGCAGGAGACAGGAAAAGGAGTGTTGCAGGACTGTCCTGCAACAATGTTGTATATAGTTAGATTTCTGGACTTATGTATAAACATATATAATTCTTTTTTCCTATTTTTAAAACATATTTTAATTTTTTAAATTTTTTGTCATATTCTGTAGGGACTTAAAGTTTAACATATCAATACTTTATGAAAAATACCTGTTCCATGTTATGCCTAAGGTGTTTGACATTCAACAGTCTAGGTTGTATGGCAATAACAATAAGCTTTTCTTCTGGAGGGTTAACAACCTAAGTTTACAGACCAAAAATTAGAGAAAAAGGAGGGCCGCAAGGAAAGCCAACATTTTGGCCCTAGCCTTCCAAGGTCAATTAAGACTCAAGACATAGGAGAACTTGAACTGTAACATCATGTAACTCGGTAGTGTCCCAAATCTTCTGATCAAGGAGATTAAGGGGCCAAAGAGGAAGGTGATCGATGATGTAGAGTGTGCCTAAGGAGAGTCACATGGAGAGGAAACATTCTCTCAGGCTTTCACAGAGAGCACATTGGCCAAGCAATGGCCGTGACTCATCCACATCGCTGACACTGACAAAGGTTCTACAAACTGAGGTACAGGGTCTCTGGATAAAGCCTGAAGGGATTTGACCTTATCAGATACAAAAGCTACAATTTTTGTTACATAGGTCTTGCTTTATCTTGGTCTTAACCATCCAGCAGAAAAGCATAAAAAAGAAGTACAAGAAATAAAGCCATATTGTTATCTTGAGCTGTAGGGGACTCAGGTCAACAACTTCTGACATTACCAGTCAAGTGGAAGACCCAATACTATTATGGACTACTGGACTATTTTGGAATATTTTGCTGAGTTCACACACTATTAGATTTGTTCTAATAGTGTTTGTAAATGGGATAAAACTAAACAAAAAAGAGGATATAGATGAATGTCCATTTTGTATCTGTGTATTCAAAATGGTTAGGATAGATACATAGCTACATTCTCTTAACTCAAAGAATAGAGGGATTTGTTCTAATAGTGTTTGTAAATGGGATATCATTTCTTCATCTTGTACAACAAATAACCACTAGGAAGGCAGTATGCAATGTGTTAATCATTGGAACTGTCATACCAATTTGATTTGAAACTGTCTCATTGATATTTATTTCTCAATAAATTTATGGAAAAAAAGAAAGTATACAAAGTGTTTACCCAGAAGAAAGTTTTTTTATACCATAAGATGAGAATTTGGGAAAGTGGGATAAAGTAACTACATTGGTAGATACACAAGTTTTTCATCTTCTGATGTTCATAATGGCTCCATTTGTGCAGTTAGAACTTAACGAATATGACTTCTGTTGAATAGTCTCTTTATAAATTTCTGCCTCATCAATTCTAAGAGGTTAGCAATCAGTGTATAATGAAAAATAAAACTGCTTAAATGATACTCTTTCGGCAAAAAATTCTGTTTATCAAATGAATATGAAAGTTTTTTAAAGTCTATAAATGAATTAATGAAATCTATATGGGTCGATGACATATAAATACTGTAAGAATGTGAAAATATGTCTTTTCTTCACAGAAATCTTAGAAACTGAAAACTACACAAAATGCTAGTTGGGAGACTGGGTTCCAATTTTTATTCTGAAATTACTGTATGTTTTGGCTTTAAGTGATTTAAGTGAACTGTATGAAAATCAGCATTGTTTTTTATTATAATAACCACAGTTGACACTATGTTCTTAACAGTGTGATGAACATTATATAAAGTATTTTACATAGTTTATTTACTTCTTATAACAATCCTATGGAGAAGGCAGATTTTCTTGGTCAAGTTTGTACAACTAGCTATACTCATCTGCTAGAACCCCAAAGAAGCTCACAAGGTCCTTTGAAAGATTAGGGGGCCTAGTGGAAGAGTAGAAAAAAGGAAGACAGAAGTTACATAACTGGAGTAGTGAACAAGCTGAACTGAAATTAGCAGTAGGGTGGAAATTTAACTTTACTGCCATTTCTTCACTGGCCTTTTTGTCCTCAGATAAATAAAATATATGAACAGTTATCACTAATGCTAGCACACACTGGGAACTCATTAACAATTAGCTTTTCCACCTGTGCTCTTCCCTTTTGTCTGCTGCAACAGTTGAACCATTTGGAATCCTGTTTCTTGACAGACAGCTACTAGGGCCAATAAGGTGGTTTTGGATTATTATGGAACAAGAAAATATGTTGAACTTCATGAAATGATCCTTGCTTAATAATGTGATTGTTTGTCAGATTTTTTTTGTGTGTTGAAGTGAGAGGCATATTTATGCAGGAATTATACATTGTGTGTAATGTAATGCTCTCTACCCTCTTTTTTCTTACTTTTTCCTTTGTGGTGCTCTGTACATTGCTTTTAATTTTGTACTAGACAAAATATAGAGGTAGTGAAGTGGAAATTCTGTTTTTGCTACTATTATAGGACTGGTAGGTAGATAAATAAATTGAAGCAAGTATAAATTACTTAACAGTCTGCGATTATCCCTTCTATCTCTCCATTCAGGACAATGGACATTAGGGGTTGATTGTGATATTTCCTAAACATTTGAAAAATATAGTATCCTCTATTTCATTAATTAATTCACCAGAATAGTGAGGTAATGTTAGTTTTGTTCTTTACCAATTGTGACTCAACAGTGAAAAACAATGTTAAACCTTACTGTTTTTTTGATGATAAGAGTCAAGTCAGTTATTTTTCTACAATTCAAAATTTTCCTATTACAGGTAATTATCTACAATATAAAATCTGATACTTTTTAGATACATAAAAAGCAATTTGAAAATTTTTTGTTGAAAATCTAAGATAGTTCAGTGAATCACAGATGAATTAAAACACCATCTTTTTTAATTACTCATGTGATATATACTGAAGATTTACAATTACATGTATTTTTACTTTGCTCTTTTAAAATTCTTATTTGAAATGAAACTGAAAGTTACATGTCCTTTTTTGTGTTACTATATTATTTATTATAAGAGGCTTTAAGTTTTCAAAGCAACATACTTCTGTGGCTGACAAGCTGTGGCTGCCAGGTAGAAAGAAGAAAAAAAAAATCATGAACATCCAACCAAAGCAGACTGAGTCTTATTGCATGTCTTCCCTGCCACTGAAGATTCAACTCCTCAAAGGCTACTGGAATCTCCTAAGATTTTTTCTACTTCATCTACCACTACATCCTTCTCCCTGGGAGATACCTCGGCATAGTTTGAACCAGCAACTCTGCCATTATGATGCATGTTGAATACATTTTTTAGCTGATGAGACCATTTATAGTTATTAAAATACATCTTGGCATATTCCTAATAAATCTGTTCAATTTCATAATAATACTGTTTTGGTGTGTAAGTGTTCTGAAGGTTTAGAATCCATACCAAAAAAATTTTCTTCTTAGGAATATCATTTGAAAAGTGGCATATATGATTGGTGAATCCAGCATTTTGAGTTTTATTTGTACTAATATTAAAATATGTTCATTGTTATTTTTGAATGTCTTTTGAACCTGATGTCTATTTTACCAAGAGAAGATTCAGTAGGTATGGTTATAAAGGCTACTGGATTGTCAACCCAGTTAAGTAATCAAGAAGATACTAACAAAAATAGGATGTTGAACATTTATTAGTGACAGATTATGCTAGTAGTTTTTGTTGTCTTCAAAATACTAAGCATTGGGACTGGTGAGATGGCTCAGTGGTCTAAAGCACCTACTTAGAACAAGCTTAGCAAAGCACAGGGACCGCAG